TCAGATTCTGACAGCGTGTACTGGCCTTGCTCAGGCGGTCTCTATTTCGATGGACGCAGCCACTTCTCAGGCCAGGGGAGGCACTCAGAATCCCGTCGCTCGCACATCCGAGCAGGTTATTGAGGGACTTCAGACACTAGAGGCACGACCAGCCCAGCCGGTTGCTGTTGCTCAGGATTATGTGGTTCATGCTATGCCTGAGGATGATCAACGTAGGTTGGAGAGGTTTGGGAGACTTCAGCCACCACCTTTCAGTGGCACAGAGAGAGAGGATGCTCAGGACTTTTTGGACAGGTGTCATAGGATACTCCGTACTGCTGGTATTTTGGAAACTTATGGGGTCTCATTCACTGCCTTTTAGTTTTTTGGGGCTGCACTCAGATGGTGGGAGACTTACAAGAGGCGTAGGCCTGTTGCCGCAGCACCCCTTACTTGGCAGCAGTTCTCCGTGGTCTTTTTGGAGAAGTTCGTGCCTCGATTCCACAGAGAGGAGCTGCGTAGACAGTTTGAGCGGCTCCGCCAGGGTGATATGTCTGTGACGCAGTATGAGATGCGGTTCTCCGAGTTGGCCCGTCATGCTATCTGGTTGGTTCCCACAGACAGAGAGAGGATCATGAGGTTTATTAATGGTCTCACTTATCAGCTACAGTTGCTCATGACCAGGGAGCGGGTTTCGGGTACTACCTTTGATGAGGTTGTCGACATTGCTCGGCAGATTGAGATGGTTCGCAGTCAGGAGAGGGCTAAGAGGGAGGCCAAGAGGCCTCGTGGTCAGGGTGGATTCAGCGGTGCTCCTTTTGGGGGTCAGTTCCAGCACGGTATAGGTCGCCATTTCAGACAGGCTCAGTCAGCTAGGCCATTTCGCCGTGGTGCATCATCTGGCCATGGTTCTTACAGTTCTCATAAGGGCCACTCATCGCTTAGTGCCCTTCCAGCTCAGAGTCCATCCCGTGCTCCACCTGTTCAGGACTCTTCCATGCCAGGTTCTTCTACCAGTCATCCCGGTGTTAGGGGTTCCTTTTAGTTTCCGCCACCAGTACCAGGGAGTTGTTTTGAGTGTGGGGAGCTTGGGCATATATGGAGGCAGTGTCCTCGTCGTCATGTAGGTCTATCTCAACAGAGGAGTCAGCCTCCGACTACAGCACCAGTTACCTCACCACCCGCCCAGTTAGCTCGGGGTGGAGGTCAGTCAGCTAGGGGTCGCCCTAGAGGGGGAGGCAGATCATGGTTGGTCAGGCCCGTTTCTATGCTCTCCCTGCCAGACCAGATGCTATTTCTTCAGATGCTGTGATAACAGGTATTGTCTCAGTTTGTCACCGAGATGCTTCAGTATTATTTGACCCTGGTTCCACGTATTCATATGTTTCCTCGTCATTCGCCCATTTTCTGGATATGCCCTGTGAGTCTCTAGTTTCTTTTGTTCATGTATCTACTCCTGTGGGCGATACTATTATTGTGGACCGCGTATATCGGTCATGTGTGGTGACTATTGGGGGTATGGAGACCCAAGTGGACCTTTTGCTGCTCAGTATGGTCGACTTTCACGTGATATTGGGTATGGATTGGTTATCTCTATGTCATGTTGTTCTAGATTATCACGCTAAGACGGTGGCGTTGGCTATGCCGGGAATTCCGAGGGTTCAGTAGAGCGGTTCTGTAGATTATGTACCAAGTAGGGTGATTTCATATTTAAAGGCTCAGTGCATGGTTGAGAAGGTTTGCCTATTTTATTTGGCTTTTGTGAGGGATGTTAGTACAGAGACTCCTATCATCGATTCTATTCTGGTGGTACGTGATTTTCCGGATGTGTTTCCTGCAGACCTGCCGGGCATGCCGCTTAACAGAGATATTGACTTTAGTATTGATTTGGTGCCGGGAACCCAGCCCATTTCTGTTCCACCGTATCGTATGGCACCGGCAGAGTTGAAGGAATTGAAAGAACAGCTTCAGGAACTCCTTGATAAGGGGGTTATTCAGCCTAGTGTGTCACCTTGGGTGCACCGGTTCTATTTGTGAAGAAGAAGTATGGTTCCATGAGAATGTGTATTGATTATAGGCAGTTGAACAAGGTCACAGTCAAGAATAAGTATCCTTTGCCTCACATTGATGATTTATTCGACCAGCTTTAGGGAGCGAGGGTATTCTGCAAGATTGATTTGAGGTTCGTTATCACCAGTTGAAGATTCGGGATTTAGATATTCTTAAAACAACTTTCAGGACCGAATATGGCCATTATGAGTTCTTGGTGATGTCTTTTGGGCTGACCAATGCCCCAGCAGCGTTCATGCATTTGATCAACAGTGAATTCCAGCCCTATTTGGACTCATTCGTTGTTGTATTCATTGATGACATCCTGGTGTACTCTCGTAGCCAGGAGGAGCACGCTCAGTATCTGAGGATTGTATTACAGAAATTGAGAGATGAGAAGCTTTATGCAAAGTTCTCCAAATGTGAGTTGTGGCTCAGTTCAGTAGCATTCCTAGGGCACGTGGTGTTCAGCGAGGGTATTCAGGTGGATCCGAAGAAGATACAGGCAGTGCAGAGTTGGCCTAAACCGTCCTCAGCCACGGAGATTAGGAGCTTTCTTGGTTTTACGGGTTACTACTGTCGCTTTGTGCAGGGATTTTCATCTATTGCATCGCCCTTGACCAAATTGACCCAAAAGGGCGCTCCATTCAGGTGGTCGGATGAGTGTGAGGAGAGCTTTCAAAAGCTCAAGACTTCTTTAACCACAACTCCAGTGTTAGTTCTTCCATCAGCTTCAGGTTCTTACACCGTGTATTGTGATGCCTCGAGGATAGGCATTGGTTGTGTTTTGATGCAGGAGGGTAGGGTGATCGCCTATGCCTCGCGCCAGTTGAAGACCTATGAGAAGAACTATCATGTCCATGATCTTGAGTTAGCAGCCATTGTTCACGCCTTGAAGTTTTGGCGTTATTATTTGTATGGGGTTCATTATGAGATCTATACAGATCACCAGAGTCTGCAGTATCTGTTAAAGCAGAAGGATCTTAATTTGCGTCAGCGGAGATGTTTGGAGCTTCTTAAGGACTATGATATCACTATTTTGTACCATTTAGGGAAGGCCAATATGGTGGCCGATGTTTTGAGTCACCGGGCAGAAAGTTTGGGGAGTTTAGCATATATTCTAGCAGCAGAGAGACCTTTGGCATTGGATGTTCAGGCCTTAGCGGGCCAGCTTGTCAGATTGGATATTTCGGAGCCTAGCCGGGTATTGGTTTGTGTGGTCTATAGGTCTTCTCTTTATGATCGTATCAGGGAGCAACAGTATGATGACCCCCACTTGCTCGTTCTTTAGGATATGGTTCGGAGAGGTGATGCTAGGGATGTGACTATTGGTGATGACGGTGTGCTGACAATGCAGGGCCGGATATGTGTGCCTAATGTAGGTGGGCTTCGAGAGTTGATTCTTGAAGAGGCCCATAGCTCGCGGTATTCCATCCATCAGGGTGCCGCGAAGAGGTACCAAGATTTGAGGCAGCACTATTGGTGGAGGCGGATGAAGAATGATATAGTTGGGTTTGTGGCTCGGTGTCTAAACTATCAGCAGGTTAAGTATGAGCATCAGAGACCGGGTGGCTTGCTTCAGAGATTAGAGATCCCAGAGTGGAAGTGGGAGCAGATCACCATGGACTTTGTAGTTGGGCTCCCACAGACTTTGAGGAAGTTCGATGCTATTTGGGT